ACCTCTTTTTGTTCACTCTTTGCATTCTTTGCTTGTCGAGATTAAAGGGACCTACAAAGACTGACAACAGCATCGCAACCTTCACTTAATGACTTGTTAAATGTTTAATGCTGCAGGCAGCTGATGTCATGGGGATACTGTCTTTTTACTGACAGCAAGTCTTGAGGCAACCGCAATAGCTCACAGGTAGAACACAGGTAAGACGGTCGTAAGCAATTTATGATGGACAGCGACTGGTTCCTGAGATCAAAGCTCAGTGTCCTTTGGTACTCCATAGCAAAAAGTTTACTTTAAACTGCCTGTGCACAATATGTAAGGCAAACTAATAGAAATTTAATGGTAAAGGTATAATTGTAAAAAAAAAAAAAATCTGATTTGATATCTGATTGCATTTTCTGTGTGACTGTCTCTCATCCACTGTTATGAAACGGCTGTGTGCAGGCAGGAAAAGGACCCCAAAGTGCAGACTCCGGAGACAGACATGAACTCGAAAGGGCACCAAAACTAGGAATACAAAATACACTTACACAGACAGACCACACAGCAAGATAAGGGTAGATTGCAACACGGACACAGAGAAACACAGGGCTTAAATACACAGAGGAGCAATCAGGGAATGGGTAACAGGAGGGAAACACAGCTGCGGCAAATCAGGCCTAACGAGACAAAGGAAGCACAACCAGACGCATTTACATGAGACACGGACTTTCAAAGTAAAACAGGAAACATAACAGGGACTGAACTTACAGAGAGACTCACAGGCAGGCACTACAGAGGGAACAGAGACGTGGGACCAGGGCAGACACAGACACGGAGATATAGCCGACAGGGGAGACAGCAACTAAGGATTACACAGAGACATAAACCATAAGACAGAACTCTAACAAAGAAACCAAAGACTAGAAATGAAAAATAATATAATAGACTCAAAAACCCTGGGTCAACGACCCAGGCATCCTAACATCCACTGCTCTTTATGCTGTCTGAGGGGCAGTGAGGTAGAGGGCCAGGCAGATAATTTGGAACTCTTAAGGGTTAAGTGTCCTTGGTATGCTTCAGCAGGTATAGCAGTATGGATGATTGAAGCTAAGCTTCCACTGTGGGGACGATTCACTAACCACAAAGGCCACCCTGCTGAGAAAGCAGAGTTATAGACCTTGAGTGTAAGGCAAATCAGTCTGGGGAAAGCTCTTTTGAGCCAAAATATTGTGAAGCTAAACAGTATTAAAATTCAAAAACATTCTCAGAGCAATGTTCCCAGTGCTTATGGGGTGCGTCAGTTATGCTCTGAATCCATAAAACAAAACTTTGGAGAGATGTTTGCAAGGGCGTTGGAGCTACACTATGGACTTTGGCAATGTGTTTCTTGCCTGGAACACCATTTAATTTTGGTTCACATCCCAGTGGTTTATGTGGGTAAGCGTGTTTGTCTAAGTGTGATAGAGTGAGAGACAGAAAAAGAGAGGGAGAGTCCTGGGGGATTCTGCTTGATCTGAAAATATAAAAACAAAGTGTATATGTTGTTACACACACACACTCCGTACTATTCCTGCCTAAAGCATTTACTTAACCACGCTCTTGATTTCAGCAATATGCATTTATCATCACTTTTTTTTTCTTTTTAATTTGATCTGCAGTTCATTATCGCTTCAATGATAGTGTGGCTCTTTTGGCTTTAAACCCTGTATACTGTGTGCCAACATAAATAATTATGAGGGGAAGAGAAAGCGATACAGAGAAACACAGAGACAGACGTTCAATTTACACACACTGACAGGCATTACAATTGTGCTATTATAAATACATGTCAAATGTCTTCAATCCAGCATACTGTGTGTATGTTAACAGTGGGTCAAATGACATATATGTTTTCTAATTAATGAAACATTTGAAATTAAAAACCCAGATATCTCTAGAAACCAGTTCTGTAACTTCACGAGGTTTTAGCCACCTTAAGCTCAGACACACTGGCGGGTGATATGGTTTCTGTTTGCCAGGAATTTAATTAGATTTCTGATGGCTTGCTAAAACTGTTTTGCATAAAAATATATGAATATGCATAAATAGAAATTTGTATTTAAAATAAAATGATTTTTCACACCTATATTCTACAAAACTGACTCCAGATCCGAAAGCTAAGATGCCAACCTCATACACACATATGCTGCAATGGTTTCCACCGCCCATTTCTCACCTGTGGATCCAAAACTCTGGGTGCAGACCTACATCAAAGCAGCCATTCTGGCACAAAATAGCAGGTAAACACAGGTGTTAGTAATTGTAATAACGAAAGGTCATTTGTATTGTGGTACACAGTTTTAATTAATGTCATTAGCAACATCTGTGTTTACCTACTATTCCATGCAAAAATGGCTGCTTTAAAACAGGCTTATCAGATTGATTTTTATGGACTTTGGGTTCTGTCACACAGACTTTACGGCAAAGAAAGAACCATATATTTCCCTGCTGTTAGGGAGGTATGAGGAAGAGAGCAAACACAGTTAAGGTCATCGAAATTCAGGATTGTGTTGATGTGCAAGCACAGTTAAGTAACAGTTTGCTGAGTTAGTATGTTAAATGTACAGGAATTTTCTTAATTGAGGTATTGTGAAGAAATTATTATGTCAAATATCAATTTTAGTTCTTGAAAAAATACTGTAAGTGAGTTTTTGTGAGTAACAGTATGGGTTTGTTGTTGTAGCGAGTTAAAAATCGGGGAGGAGGTGTAATTTTAATTGCTTTAAGCTCAACACTGGAAAATAGTTTTATCTGCAACAGCATGTAAAATGTATGTGATCATCATATGGGTCATATTTCAATTATTTACTAGGAACTTAACACATGATGAGACCTTTACAAGAGTTTAGTGCAGTAGAAAATATAACAGTTGCCTCTGACAAGTAGTACAAAGTAGTATTAAATGGAAATATATATCAGCACAGCGCCCCACTGCCAGGTGAAATGTCCAAAAGACACAGGAAGAGAAAGCAAGAAAAATAGGTATGAAAGGTAATGAAGAGACACTGAGAACAAATGATAGAGCGTTATGTAAACCATGAGCTACATTCAATGGCTCATAAGGGGACTAAGACATGAAAATAAAAGACCTGGAGAGACAGACCGAGCGAAAGACAGACAGATGCAGGCTGAGAGACAGATGGAGTTCAGCGTAAGTTATGCGATGTTAGCTCCTCTGGTAATTCTGGTGATAAGTCTCTCTGTGCGCTATTGCTATAGCAACATCATGCCCGTTTTGCTGTGGGCACGGTGATGGGCTGGCCATTCGTTCAGGACACGCTGATTGAGCTGTCAGTGCACTCGCAAACACGAGCTTACACACAAGTCTTGAGACATTCAGTTAAATCATTTCTCACGCGCAACCCTAGCGTGCACACACGTTCACAAACACACACTTTATCTCTACATATCTATCGGTGTATAAACCGCTGTGAGCTAAACACTAGAGCAGGTCAGCTGAGGATGCTATGAGAATTAGAGAAACACGAAACAACTGGGTATGGTCAGGCGGGACTCTTGCAAAGATCTCGTCGACAGTAAGACAGAGAAACATAGAAACAGAAAAGAACTATATATGGTTGTCTCTAAGGGGTGTTGTACTTGTTCTGACACTCTCTTACAGCACTTCACGGTTGCAGTCCATTACTTACTTACACACACACACACACACACACACACACACACAAGCACAAAAAGACCCGTAGACAAACATGTTGTGGCTCTTATTCTTTTATTTGTCCCTTTCCTTCATTCTGACCACCTAGTTAAAGTCGGGAGTGGGCTTTTGTCTGAGAGTATTTGAAAGTTTCCATTTGTAAGGATCTATATTATCTATATATATATATATACTCAATTATTTTGCAATGCTAGGTGCATTTGTCTCTTGTGCAGTGCGTGTCAATATAAGCTCGGCTGAATACATACATTTGTCGCCCGCTTCTAAAATGAGACCGTCACGTTTAAGCGTTGATGCTTATTCTTTTGTTTTAGGGGTTTGTGAGCACGTGTGTGCGTGTGTGTGTGTTTGTGTTTGTGCGGCTGTTAACTGTACGTATTCTTATGGCCTGCCACTGAACAAACTAATTAAGGAACAAACGGTGCTTCAAACCAACCAGAAAATTACCTCCCAACTCTAACAGGACGACCCAAGGACAGACAGGCAGGTTCTCTATCACATCTAGTCAGAACACAAAGCCTAATAAAGGCTTAGTGGGTTTATCGAACACCTAGCATGTGTCATTTTCAACACTTCACTAAGTGTAACTTCAGCATTAGTGTTTGCGTTTGTAAGGGGTTCCAGCACAGGCACTGACTAAAATAAGAAGTAAATTTCTATGGCTCAGCAGAGAGAATCTCCACTTTACACTTTCATACCTCTGGTTGACTTTTTTCACCTCTTTTTTTTTTAGTTTCTTTTTTTTAAGACAGACTGTAATTATAACACCTGTAGTAAAGCGAAGTTGTTGACTTTCAGCAAATTGCAGGTGAATGTATCTGTCACTCAATACTATAGTTCTAGCTAATCCTGTGGTATTTCACACCCAATAGCTTCCAATTAAGCACTGTTATCCAGAGAGATGTTGCTGGCAATATCAATACCATCTATGTGACCTTCTGTTCCTCTTTCTGTACCTGTCTGCACTTGACTCATTTCTTCTTTCCCCTTTCTGTTCTTCTCTTTCCTTTCTGTCACAGTACTTCTTCCTTGCATCTCTCAGTTGTGCTAAATCCACTTTAATTGTTCTCCTCTAAACTTGAGCTGTTACCCACAATTGTTACACTTTTGCTGCAGGCTGTATCCTGAATATGTCTGGCTAAACATCACCTAAATGGTTTAATTATAAAGCTAATTGTCACTCTTTTGTTGTGTGGTGACTCAACAGCCTACAATTACTGTTGCTAAAACCAATATTAATGCTTCGGTTGCTTTTAAAACAATGACATTATGTTTTATTTTGTTTTGCTTTGTTTTCTCTCCACAGTGAAGACTTGTGGCAGTAATCTTCAGGGGCCATCAGGAACCTTTACATCTCCCAACTTCCCAATTCAATATGAGAACAACGCACAGTGTGTGTGGATAATTACTGCCTCAAATCCCAATAAGGTAAGTCTTCATTTTGATTCAATCGCTGTCAAATTCTCAAATTCAAATTTAGTGTGAAGAGAGATCAATTAATTCCAAAACACATATATCAAAGTGCATCACTGGTAGTACACAAACTCACTTTAACCATAGAGACATATTGCCTGTACATGTAGTTATAGAAAAAGTAATATGTAAAAGAGTTCCTACTTTCTAATTGTAGAGTTCATTATAAAGCAGTTTAAATCAGCAAGCACACTTGCAATACATTATTATTATGTGAAGAAGCAATACTTAGTATTGATGCTGTTCTTCTCTCTGCATACCCAAGCTAAAATTGGGGAAAACCCGTTAAGTTACAAAAGTGGAACTTGAAACCTCCAGGTTTGGTGTAATGGGGGCTTATGAAATGTTAAACAAGCAACAGCAGCACCAACACAGCCAGGAGTGATAAGTGCATGTGAGCTGAAATGCTGCCTTACTGTAAAGAATTAGCGCTATGCAGAAGTATGTGGAGTATTGCAGCCTAGCAGCACAGCCCAAGTTTCCTTCCTGAACCAGCTTGAAGGTTTCGCTCCATTTGAATTTCATGCATTCGCTTTAATTTTAATTGATATAAATCAGCAGTTCTTACAAGCATTTACAAAGTTGGTTAAGAAGCATTTTTGCATAATTGAAATGGGTTGATAATAATTCACGTAGGAGGTGTTGTAAATTATATGCCAGTCAAAGCATGTCCGCATTTGATTCTGTGTGATTGGTTAATCCCGCAAAGGGGCAGACGATAGGTTGGAGGTTAGATGGATATCTGCCATTGGCCGCTTTATGTCCCACGAGAAATCTGATTGGTATTCAGACACGCACCCTTATTCGACTCGGGGCTCTGTTGTGACCACTCTGTCGTCAATGGCAACACCTGCGTCAGCACAATAGGGACGAACAAACACATACAAGTGTGTGCACACACACACTTACATATATAACTGTTCAAACACACACTGCATATTGTTTTTGAGACAGACACACACACACACACACACACACACACACGCAGTCACTTTGTTGGTGCTCAGAACCTTTCTGTCTCTCTCTCTCCCCCCTGCTCTCACACACAGTGCTCTCTGTCACTGCCCAAGGCCTCTGGTTTATGGTCTAAAGCAATACATTCTCTGTTGAAGGCTACACTGTGTAGGTGACAGTTGAAGGCTACAACACTAAGGCCATTTGGACCCTTTGTGTTTCAGGTGTGTGTGTATAAATGTGCGACACATGTTAGAGGGGTGAAAATTACTGTATATCTATTGTCTGATAAATGATAATGGATATTGCCAAACACATAAACCTAAATGAAGACGAGATGAAGAAGAAAAACATTTTGTAGCCCTTTATCTCAAAGGACTTCACAGGCCGTGCCTCGTAATGTATTGTAGTGTTCCACGCCACATCACGTACAAGCCATGCACCATCCTAAACATGTATGACGTCTTTTATCCCACTACATCATATCTGCTATATGCCATACTGAATCACAGACCACACAGAACCACAAGGTACACATGTTTTTTTTATGACACTACATCACACCAGAGGTCTTCAGGGGATTATATATTTATACAGTACGTGCCATGAAGAGACAGACATCCATTCAGAACAAACCCAATGTTTGTGCATCGAGACGTATACCACACAGACCACATTCCTGGTAAAAAAAAAGTTTTCCTTTTGCCCCAAGGAATATTAAATATTATAGGTAAATACTGTATAACAATACTGCATAGCAGAGCAATTTAAATGATTCTAAAGCTGAAGAGCCTTCAGATCATAGTACAAACTGCTGGTATCTCATCCCAAAAACAACTTTAAAACATGAACTGAGCCTGAAATTGACTTCCTCATATTGCAGTCTACCAGTTATCCATAGTTTTTGAAATCTAAGGTTATATTTCTTTATATATATATTTCTTTATACAACCACAGGTCCTACCTGTCTTTGAATTTGTCTAATACAGTACATACAGTAGAGACTTGTTAGGTCCAGATAGCAAAGCCAGAGAGAAAGAAATCGGCCTGGCAAAGACTGACAAATCCTTGTCTGCCCACAACTCTTCTCTCACCTTCATTTATTTTTCATCTGCCTTGGTGAATTGTGTGGACATGTAAAGCTAATAGGATTCAAATTATTAATATGAAAAAAAACCTCTCGGTTGTGGATTAATATCTTGTCCAACTTTTTTTAATGCTATCAGATAACTGTCATTGCTTTTCATTGTCACCGCTCTGAAGTATGTTTTGAAAATAAAAACAAAAATAATAGCATCGGTTAATCCGGTAGATCAATTTCAAAGGCATTTAGAATTTTTTAAAAAATACAACAAGGTCTAGAAGATTTGTTTTGCCAAATAAAAGCAGGCAAAACAAGACATTGCCCCCTATTTTCAGAGGCTCAAAATTAATTGGAGAAACTAGCAAAATTTAAAATATAAGGATTATTTTAATACTTGGATTAAAATCATTGCTAGTCAGTGGCTGTGTGAAGCCTACAGCCCATGAACTTCACCAAATGTGATGTTTCCTCCTCTAAGATGCTCTTCTAGACCTTTACTGCAGCAATCTTCCACTGCTGCTTATGGTTTATGCGGCCTGTGGGTCTCTCTGCCTTCAGTTTTGTATTTAAGAACCGAAAAGCATGCTTTATCGGGTTGAGATCAGCCCAAGAGCTTCTTCCTTGAAAGCTCTTGAGTCAGTACTGTGGAACGCTGTCTGGACCGTTCAGCAGATTTTGGCTGAATCAGAGTAGAGAGTGTAGCATGTATCATTAGCAGCTATGCAAGCCCATACTATAATGTAGCCTCCACCATGTTTGACATGTATTGTTGTGTGGTTTCTGTTATTAGCGTTTTCATTCCTTCTCCACCATTTTTTTCTTTTTATAATCATAGATGCAGTTTACAGAGTGCTCTTGATTTCACATGTCTAACGTTGTTTTTGGGGGGAGGTGGTTTCAGCCCAGGACAGGCTTAGAGAATTCTACATTCATTGACTCTAGTCTAGCCTTCTGTGGTCTTTCAGGGATTTGAATGTTGCTGAATGGGCAGGTGCACTTCTTCTTTGTAGAAATGTACTAGATTGTTAATTTGGCCACTTCTTACATTTTTTTCCTTTGTCTCTGATGGGTTTGTTTGGCCCCAAATCTTTTTGGAGCTCGTTCGAAGACTTCCAGTGTAAAGCTACAGATACAAGTTCAACTTCAGATCTTTTACCTGCTTAATGTGTCATGGAATAATAATAATAATTATTATTATATCATTTGGCCATTAAAGCTGAAAGTCTCTGCTTCAATCACATCTTGACTATTGGATTTAGATATTATAATATAATGTTTTGGTATTTCACAAAAAAAGGGTGTATACTGTATCTCACTGTCAAGAAAGTTGGTAATAATCTACTTTAAACATTATGTTAAAAAATAAAATAAGTAAAACACACTACCACAGTGCACAGGATATTGATCTGCAATTACTGCAGTCACTTTCTCTAGTTAAGGCTGCACTCACAGTTGGTGTTGAGCACATTTCAGTTAGTGTTTATAAGTTCCCGTTGGTTTAGGAATTCACATTCTGCATGCTTCAGATGTTTAGTGACAACAGGAAATTGCAGATCCAGAGAAGCATCTCGTTGAGTAAAAGGTAATTTACCAGTCCAAAAGCAGGCTTACATATGTCGGGCAGGTGGCAGAGGCAAGTACACAGTTGGGAACTGGCAGGTAAACAACAGGTAATGGGCAAAAATGACTGTGACAGAATGGGAGCAGTGATGATCTGGTGTACTGGCAGTAAAAATCTGTTCTCAATTAGGGAGCTGATGTGGCAACGAGGGGCAACTTAGCAAACAGGACAGTAGTAGGTTGATCTCAGTATGAGGGAAGGCAACAAAAGAACCCCAAACTCCTTAAGAGAGGCAGTCTGAGAATCACAAGAGCAAGAGGGTGTCGCCTGCATAACACGTTCCAAACAAGGGAATAGTCCTGTCTCTACAGCAAGAAGATCTCTTTTTTTTTATTACTTCTATACATCTCTGCCTGTTTCAACTTGTACTCTTTCTCTCATTCATCCTGCCTCTTCCTTCTCTTTGTCTCTTTTTTACACTGCCCACTCTCCTCCTCCTTGACTCCCAGAGGCACTGTCCTCAGAATTACCCAGATTCTTCATTAAAGAGCTCAAGCTGAAACCATCAAATTACTACTGAGAAAGAGAGAATACAGCGAGTGAGGAGAGCACTTGAGGGGAAAAATCTGTTTTTCACTGTTTCCCTCCTATCTCTTTCTCCATTGCGCAAATTCACACAGATTCTCACAGAGGTGCCTTCTCATACTCTGAAGGTAAAGAGACATAGTTTCCAAAGCTCTCCCACTCTTCTTCTCTCCCGATCTTTGCAAGCCCCATTCCCTCCATCCTTCTCTGCCTATACACCACCCTCTCTCTCTCAGGTTAAGTGTTAATGGGGTTCTATAGCTCTCTGATGTTATTGCTTCATTTAGTTTTGGCAGAATGAGCCTTTAGAGCCAATTCATTCTCTCCTGTTCTCATTTAACCTTGGGGATGGTAGGACAGCATGCCCATTACTAGACTTCACTTCACTTCTTCTCTTCTCTTCTCTTCTCTTCTCTTCTCTTCTCTTCTCTTCTCTTCTCTTCTCTTCTCTTCTCTTCTCTTCTCTTCTCTTCTCCTTTTCTGTATTTTCTCCATCATTTGGTTTCTCCTTCTCCTTGAATTTCCATATTCTGCGATATGAGCAAATCAAAACACTTCTTTCTTACTATCGTTTGGTCATGATACAGGAGATTGGATAAAAGTCTTTACATACTGTAGGTGCTTAGCTATCTTTTAGTCTTTTCATGACAGCTGGACACACACCTAAAACAGTAGCCTTTTACATTATAAAGTGTGTGCTAGGTTTCTGTGGCCCGATTCACATTTGCATGCACAGTCTAATGCATAACACATGGATACAAGATGACTACTGCAGCGCTGCGATGATGAATATTTAGTTAGCACCCCTATGATAAACACAAAGGAAGTGCATGCAAGGGCATTCAATTCAAAGACAGGAAGGAATTGTTTTAGGTAGATTTTCCATTAATACTGTAGGCATTAAATTCAGAAATGCCCTGCAGGCTTAAGAAAAAATCAGACATACACTGAAGCTAGTAGGCAAAGAGAAAAAGAAAACACTCCACTGGTTTTCTGTCATTAAAGAAATGGTATGCTTCTGCATCTTCCTGACGGGATGAACAGCATAGCACTTTTAAGGGCTCAGGTTAAAAATGTTAAACATTTATCATAGGAGAACAGTGATTCTAATGCTTTCTATAGTTCAGTAGTTGCATAGCAACAGTAAGGGGCAGGCACAGCCTTTCCCACTAGTTCCTGTTCAGAGTTGGTATCTGGAAAGGATGCACCTGGCAGTCCAAGCTGAAAAAAGTATAAGTAAGGGGCAAAACACTGAGTAGTCTCGGACTTTAACCATCAGTCTTCATCAGCTGCATCCCAGGTCTCATCACAATGGCACGATTTATACTGGAGAAGCACATTCAAGGGGAGTGTGTTGATCGGGGTTTATGGTAATGCTGTCACAGACAATCTTTTATCCCCCAGCCCTGTCAATGCCCGCTTTACATCACCGGCTGTGTCACTCACCAGGTGTTTCACATATTCCTAGTGTAACTATATCTTCAAAGTATCTTAAGATCTTTTATGGTATAAGTAGGGAGGAGCTTCGCTCACCTCATTGTCTCCACGACAACCAAAGGAAGTGCTTTATCAAGCAGAAATCCAATTCTGTCGCCTCATTGGCTAGAGGCCATAGACGGATAGAAGGAAGACATGCAGCAGCCAATTAGAGAGAGATAGAGAGGGTGGTAGAGAGAGAGAGAAAGAGAAAAGCGGGAGAGATAGCTAGTGAAAAGAGATCGACAGAGAGATGGATGTTTGCATGAACACCAACCAATTAGAAGAGAGGGGAAATATGTGGAGTTTTCAGCTTCATCTATCATAAACACAAACTGAGCACACTAAATGTAAAAAGGAACACACACATAAACACTGACCCTCACATTCCCACTAATGAGGTTCCAGTCGAAGCTGACTTCAGTGCAGCATTCATAGATGCATAAACGTAAGTGCATGCATGGATTCAGTGCAATGTGCTTATGGCTTAGCTGTGTTTAATGCTGTGTGAACTGTGCTGATGTGTCATTAGGACACTCTGTAAAGGACATATACAACAAGACAGAACAACTCTAATGGAATACTCCTTATAGAGTCCATTTCAGAATGAGGTATTTTCAGAAGCAAAGCTTTGTTACCTACAGCAAACTAAGCAAAAGGCATCATTTCTAGTGTTTCTGCATATCGATGCCCTTGTTGTCCTCAGCCTTCAAACTTTTTGTATCTGCTTGTTGGCCCGATTCGTAGTTATTTCACCTACTTGGGATAGAAGGATTGTTTAAACCCACTCACTATACCAATTATTTGGTAGTATAGTCTCATCATTCACTTTTTTTGACTGTAAGCACTATAAAAATTGGAGGCACACACACACAGAAATATAGCGTGAAAGACAATACAGTAATGACTGCTCCCAGCTTACTTCATGAGCTATCAATCTGTGAATGTTGTGTGTGGAGCACTGCAACCACGATTTCATTTTCACTTCTCTCTGGCATGCACTGAACAAGTGAAACCCACTCACTTTGAATTCTCTATGCACATTTGGATGTGTTTCTTTGCTGTGCCTAGTAAGTTTCAAGATTTTTCCTTTTTATCTCAAACCTGCTGTGGAAAGCTTTTGGTAATCTCTGATCATTTAACTCAAAATATATCTATGAAGCGCTTCCATTATTTTTCCACCATTTGCATTTGATAGACCCGTACTTGTTGCTGTCAAATTAATCGTCTCCAGTGCCCATCCTCTATACTTTCAACACTGCACTAGAATGGCATCCACACGTTATTGCAGATGCAAAGGAAAAAGGAAATAAAAAACCTTTTTCCATAAAGTTTGTAAGCTCTTGAACAGTGTTTCACTTATGGAAAGTCATTCAGCTATGTCAGCAACCATTTGCGATGTTAAAAGTGCACAACGTAACTTTTAAGTATTGTGATCATCATGATTATCCTTGTAAAAGCACGATCTGATGTTGTCTTTCTATAAAATCTGTAAAAACAGTCATATAAATGCGGCTGTTACTTCTCAGATTTGCTGCTGTGCTGAGAACCTGCTTTGAGTTCATGAGAATACAGCGATAAGTGTGTGTGAATATGGCAACTGTGTAATCAGAGCAATAGATACAGTAATCTCCACAAAGCCTGTGCCTGTCTGTTTCCGTGTGTCTGTGTGCATGCTTTCCAGAGAGATTTTAACAGGTTTGTAGGTAATGCTTTAATCCAATCTGCTGCCTCACATACTGATAAGACTGAGTCAGCACCTTGAGCAGTGGGCAGATTGTTGCTTCATCTTTGTATACACTCTTGTTTATTCCATTTCCGGTGAAATCGGGTGATGGTGCTGTTACGCTTTCCCAGTTTTTTTGGTATATTTGGGTATGTCTACATTAGTTGTAGTCAGTCAAAAGATAACTTTACTTGCTTGTGGCAGAAGAGGTAAAGCAAGTATTAAATGGCAAAAAAATGAACCCCATAAACTAAAACAAATCAGGTGACACTAAAGGAATAGCCACTGTTTATGCTCTCTCCCTTTTCATAAATTCATAGGCTAAAGTTGCATAAAAAATGAACTGTATCCATTCAGCATGCACAGTAGTGGTGTCATGTTTCTGGTGCTTAAATTGTGTAGTGAAGGGAAAAAGAGAACTGTATTGACGTCTTACCTAAACATAATAAATATACAGAGTTGTTGAGCGTGCCAATATGCATGCAAATATGCTTAGTGCTAATATACCAGCATACAGGAAAATAAGATCTGTGCGATGCATTTGGTTGCCTTTGAAGTGCTCCAGCAGAATATTCATTCTGGAAATCTGGAAATTCCTCATAAGGAGAGAAGAAGAGCAGGGCGGAGGCAGACTGAGGTTTCAGTCTTCCCCTGAGGGTCAAGTCAGAATTTTAGTTTGAAATATTCCAGCACTGTACTTTGCTAGCATCAAAGATGTGCTCATTATTACCCCCATTTCCTCTCTTCCTCTGTCCTCTCCTCTTCCATCTGCCTCCATCTTCTTCATTCTCTCTATCAACCCTCCCCCCATTCTCTCTTCTCTTTTGCCAAATGTGCTTCTCTCTGGTCTTAGATGAAACAGAAAGTGTTGGTTTAATAATTCCCGATCAGAGTTTTGAGCTGTGTGCTGCTACTCACTGCTTCAAGTGTACAGCAGAGGTGTTACTTGCAGTCTTCCCTCCTCATTGTGCGGTACTGAATGAAATCATGCCTCATTGTGTGATGCATGAATGAATTCTAATGATTCGTGTACAGTATGCTCAGGTACAACTCAGAGACTGAGATGACTTTAATGTCATCACAGGTAAAAGTCTTAACATGACAAGATACAATGTAACCTTTTGCAACATGATTGAGCTCACGCTAGTTTTAGGACTACAAGAGTGTAGATTACATTTTTTAATGCAATATGTCAAAAAATGCAATTATAACCAGATCAAGATCAAATCCACCATTTTCAAAATGATTGTGGAATTTTTTGAGCCAAAGGTTTTTTTTGGTATAAAACTGAAATTTTAGGAAACACAGCTCAGTGCGATGACCTCCAAACTGGAATCAATAACCACGTTCCTTACTGGGTGCTGAGATTTCTGAACGTTGCTTCTTTTTCTTCTTCTTATTGTTGATTGAGTAGCCCTGATTTTAAAAAATAAAGTTATATATTACTGCTTGACTTGTGTTGGAATAATAACTCACATGAATGTGAATATGCTTGTTTTTTTCATGCATGTCAACTTTAGGTCATCCAGATCAACTTTGAAGAGTTTGACTTAGAGATTGCCTATGATACGCTAACTATTGGAGATGGAGGGGAGGTAGGAGATCCTACGACTATTCTACAGGTGTAAGTATTATACTATAAACTGACATACTTTTGCACTTGCTTTCGACATATCCAGAGATCAGTGTATATTACAGTACTTTTTTGTAATTTTAAGTGAACAGTGGTCGTCCAGGCTTTCTGAAGCTATCCCTGAAGAAATTACATGAAAGCTTGGCTAAGACAGTTCAGGCTTTGCTGAGCAATAAAGTTGCTCATGCCAAATATTTGCTTTCTGTTTGTACCTTGTGTACTGCATTCCCATGTATGTTTGCACATGTTTCAAGAAATCACTGCACCTAGTTCCCATTTTACTAGCTAAAGATAAAACATCTTTGAAATCTTTCCACAATATATCTGTATTATAAGTAAATATCACTGATATGTAGCGATACAGAGACCAGCTGTGCAAATAAGCAGCAGTGCTCTATGAGAATAATCAATGAGAAAGGTACTTTTTGTCTTTTGCTTCATCATTTTTTATTCTGGGCTTGATGCAAAGTGATTATGGTTCACTTTGTAGATGGTCACTGTTAGCTTTTGATTATAAACAGGACTGGCACTCTGAAAAAAGGTTGCATAGCATCAGAGTACTCAAAGCAATTTGCCATACTCAGGCAGGATTCTGCAAAACCAAAGCAAAGCACTGAGCTCCAGTGCAGTATGTTCCAGCAATTTGTTTAGAGAATCACTTGAGAATTTGATTATAGCTATGATTGCAATGATGAAAATGATACTTTTTTATAGTAGTAATTATGGTGACAGTGATTTAATAGCAGTGCGTTTTGTGCTCCAGCCTATCAGGTAGCTTTGTTCCTGACCTGATAGTCAGCATGACTCACCAGATGTGGCTCCACCTACAGTCAGATGAGAGTGTCGGCTCTATCGGCTTTAAAATCAACTATAAAGGTAAGTAATGAGCATGTGTTTGTTTTTGTAGGAGAGAAAAAGAGAAGGAAATTGTGTGAATTAGATGCCTTTAAATAACTTGTGAAGACATTTTCAAACTTGTCAGACTATGTGTTTGTATACCAAGGATGAGATGGCAAAAGAAACCTCAGTTTTTACTGATTTATTTTATATTGGTAATGTTGAGCACACCTGCTCCACATCAAACAGTAAAACACAGGGTGGCACCCCCTTTAATCACATGTTGTTGGTCACATTAAAAAAATATGAAGATGATATCAAGTTGATAAACTAGTAACCATTATAAATCTGTGGGTTGTACATTTTGCCCTGGCATTGCTCTTTTTATGGCTCAATAACATTTTGCATTGGATATGTTGCATGTAACACGGTGTGACTTTGCAAGTAATTTTGATATCTCATCACTTGCATCGACTCTATTACTGTTAGATTACCTGTCTATATCTGTCTGATTCTACTTATTTGATATACACATCTAATGTACTTGGATTTTGTTCTTATAGGTTTCCACTTAATTTTAAATGCATTTTATTTTTGCTTTTCTAGGCACTAACTAACGGTTCTTATGTGTCTTATGTGTTCAATCTTGACTTGTATGACTGAACAAAGGAATAACAGTTTATTTTGCAATTGAAATTTAAATTCATTGGCAATAAATCCTAGAATTTCTCACTCATTCAGTACACCCAGGGGTTTTACTGCTCAGCAGCTTGTGTTTTGATAAGCTAACAAATACCTAATGAGGGGATCTTAAATCAGTCGACAGATGACTTGTGTCTTTGTGGATGGCTTCAAAAGTAGTCTGAGTGCGTCTTAGCTCTCAACATTATCATCCAAGTTTTGAGGGTATTATAGTCTGAGGATGATCCTGATGCTTCGAACATCCCGGGATGATATCAGGTTAGATTTCTGTGGGAGTTTTGTTTTCATTTTTCACTACGCTGTGCAGTGGAAATTTTATTTCTGTCAAAATTCCAAAAAAGTTGAAAAGTTTGGCTTCTTGAGATGTCTCATTGTTAATCCCTTTAAGCGATGACTTATCTTGATCAAACAGAACATCTTTGTAGATGCATTGGTCTGCTTTAAAAATAAATGCTTGTCTAGCAACGCATGACCTTCTTCTTAATATCAGTTAGGAACAAAGTGTTTTTCTGTTCTGTCGAATCAGCTCCTGCCAAACTAAAAATATTAACCTTTCCAAAGTTTCCTGTGTGATGGATGTAGTTTTCATTTGATCACAGCACATGAAACATAGAGAGGGGAGCTTTGCTGCAGAAATGAACTTTGTGTACCTCATTTAGGTGTCATCATCTGCGGATTTATTGTCATAATGAGGTCACAGTGCTGAGTCTGGTAATGCAGCAAGTTCCAAAAGGGGTGTGACAATGACACTTGTTTTGATATATCTCTGCCCTTTATGCTCCTTGAGTTTCATTGTGAAGTTCAAATGATATACTGAAAACACAGTGATTAAAAAGACATAACATCAAAATGATTAAAATAGAAAATAATGAAATACTGCAGATCTGTCTTTCTTAAAGTAACTCTGCAAATAACAAATGTATTGGTGGCAATTTTTAAGCAAATAATACGATGCGCAGGTAATATTAAAACGTTTAAAAACTAACTTGAAATCATATCACCTTTATGAAGGACATAAGGTTCCTGTCTCAATGATAATTGTGCATATGCCCATTAATTTCTCCTGAGTGATTTCACCATAGAGATCAATAGAAAAGCTAATGGAGAGAGCCACCATCTAAATGCACCCATGCTTATAATATTGCTTCATTGCATTGGCATGAGAGCTGGATTTTCTTTCTTAATCTGTACCCAGTAGTACACAGCAAGATTATTCTGCACAATACGTGGAAGACCAATGCAGTGTTGTTAGAGCGTATTCACTGTCAAAAGCCATGCATTTGTATTTTGATGTTATAAGGTTTTGTTATTTTGTGTCACAATGACCTTATCACAGCTATGTTGGCTTTTATGTTCTTTGAAAAGCAATAAGAGACTGTGTGCGCTGTGGGGACCATACCACCCGGTGTAAGGTTTATGACACTGCTACTCCAATTAAAATTCCTCATAATTATCAAAATCATTTTTATGTTTCTGTATTGGCTAATTCACCAGTGTGCACAAGCTCTTTAATCAAGGTAGTATTTTTAATGCTAAAATATAATTAATGCTGTTATCCGTCAAGTTTAAAATTTACTGTTTTATTAAAAAGCTGAAAAAAAAAGAAAAATGAAGCTCGTTATTATTTTTTTGATTGAGATGCCAAATTACAGTTATTTACTTGCAGTCCTTAACACAGAAATTGGTTTTAGTGGTTGAGTGTTATGCTTGATTAATTTCGGACTTCTCATTGAAGTCCAGTGTGTGAGCTCAAATTTGGGTATAAAACACAAATTCAGTTTGTAATTTGCCTAATAAATGATATAATTTTTAGTTTGAAGGATTTTTCTTTAAATATTTGAGGGTTTTTTCTTTTTTTTTTTTTTTTGGGGGGGGGGTGTCTTTGTTAAACTATGTTAGCTATTTAGTCACTTTGTTTGCTTACCAGGGAGTGATGCCAAGTTTACTTTTTATAGTTCAGCTTAAAAAAATAGCATAAATGTACAATTTAAGGAATCCTCAGCATATTATGTAAGAAAGGACTGCTTGCTGCTCAACATCTACTGTACTGTTATTAGACTTAAGTGTGCCCCCTTTAATTACATCTACATCATACTTATGTAAATGTGTCTGACATTCTTAGATTGTCAAAACCTACAAAAAAGTACTTTAACTATTACTTTTTTTTTTCTTTTTTTTTTTGCTCAAACCCCCAAACCATGAAAAGCGCCAATTCTCAGTACAAGATAAATGTGTTTGTCTCAGAGTGCCGGCTCCATCACCCACAAGATTTAATATAAAGGTGGGTACTTGCCTGAGATGTAAAAAAAAAAGGGGCACACTGTGTGTGTGTTTGTAGGGTACATAGACATATCCCGTAGACCTTGGCTATGAAATATAAACATTATCAGTAACTCCAGCCTTTCTGTAAAGCCACACTAACAATGCGTGTATGTGGGTTTCTGTTAGTGTGTATGTGTGTGTGTCAGACAGGTCCTCCATCAGTAAGCCAACGAAGCTCTACCAGCAAGTCACTCACCCCTCTCGCTCCTCACATTCTCCCTCTCTTCCCCTTTTCCCTCTGTCTCATTTTTCCTTATTAGCCATCTATCTATCCACCATCCTCTCATTCCCTTCTTTTTGAAATCACAACATTTTCTCTGTCAGTTGTTCTCTAATGCACTGTTGTTTAGTTTCCCTGCTTCTCCTCCTTTCTGCTCTTTTTGCTTCTCCCATTTCCTGTATCAGACACCCCTTCTCTGCTCTGTTGTCTGTCAAATGACCAGCCCTGCATCTTTTTTTCTTTTGCACTCATTCCCTCCCTGTCTATCTCTGTGTTTCTGCTTTTCTCTTTCTCGTGGTCTCTGCCTGTGTCCCTCTCTTTTTCTTGTCACCATTCATCTATTATTAAAGCCAAGGTCACCGACCTGGGAACACTTTGACTCCACTCCTACTGCAGAGCATACAAATCACACACACGTACAAACTCACACACACAGCTGAGTTCCCATCACTTCACACCACTATTGGACGTTGTATTTACTTACATAAACCCCTGGAGACTGACACTAACCATTACTCCAGTTTACTATACTCTAACCTTAAACCAAGTGTTCAACCTAAAATTTTATGATTTACCTAACCTCACCTTGCTTTTTGCGAGTCCCTGCAGCATGACAGTGAGAACGCAGTTATGTCCCCCACATTTAGAAGTTAAGCCTGACTTTACACCAGTCTTTCAGTCAATTATAAACTATGGCATGTCACAGCTATTGATTTAAGGCAGCATTGCGACATTATCGACATTGTTCACATTAACGTTTCAATGAGTTCCTGTCTGCTCTGTGGATATATACATTTATCATGAGCTTATGCTGTGTATCTGTCTTCACAGTCCATAATGAGGTGTCAGTGAGGGTTAATAATAATAGTAATAATGCATTTAATTTGAGGGCGCCTTTCAGAAACCCAAGGTCACCTTACAAAAAACAAAATAAATAAAAGGAACAGGAGTCATAAACTACATAAAATAAGTTAAAAATACAAAACAGAGCTTGACAACCGATAAAATCAGCATTAAAGCGAATAAGCCAGTTTAAACAGATGTGTTTTGAGCTGTGTCTTAAATACGGAAAGGGAGTCAGATTTTCTTAGTGCAGGAGGAAGAGAGTTCCAGAGCCGAGGAGCAGAGCGACTGAAAGCTCTGTTCCCCATAGTAATAAGGTGTGAGGACGGAACAGTAAGATGAGTAGCAGATGATGATCTGAGAGGGCGGGAAACAGTGGTGATATGGAGCAGGTCACACAAATATGAAGGAGCAGATTTATGGATACACTTGTATGTCAGAAGTAAGATTTTAAAATTTATCTTGGCTTCTATGGACAACCAGTGAAGCTGCTGAAGAACTGGGGTAATATGAGCTCTTAACAGAGTGCAAGTTATGACCCGAGCTGCAGAATTTTGAAGAAGTTGGAGTTTATGAAGGGACCTTTTAGGGAGACCAAACAGGAGGGAATTACCGGTACAGTAATCAATACGGGACGTAATAAGACTATGGACAAGGATGGCAGCAGCATGGGGAGTAAGTAAGGGACGGAGTCGGTTAATATTACGTAAGTGGAAGTAAGCAGACCGGGTTATGTAATTAATGTGAGACTGGAATGAAAGAGTATTATCAAGTATGACACCCAAACTCTTAACCTGAGGGGAGGGAAGGGTAGGAGAATTTTCAATGTTAATGGAAAAACTGTGGGATTTGGTTAAGATAGATAGTGTACCAACAAGTGAAACTTCAGTTTTACTTACTGTTAAGTTTGAGAAAATTGGAGGAGAACCAGGATCTAATCTCAATAAGACAG